CAGATGCACTCCTTCTCCTCTGGGGTTAGAGGGGAGGACAGAATAACATAGATGTCATGCTAGGTCAAGTCACAGGACTGGGTCAGTTCTCAAATTCCTTGATAAAGGTGGTCAGGTCAGTGGGAAAAGACCTGAGATGCCTCTCAATCTGTGCGAGGTTGAACATGGAAAACGGGATGTGTACTCAGACAATACTCTCAGTACCTGCTACCTCCCTCAGGGGTAGAACCGGTGTGGGAATAGAGTGGCTGTTGAGGAAGGCAGTCTATGGGTGGCCCCATAGCAAGTGTTGGGTGGGGAAAAGTCTGTATTGGAGCTCTCATTCTTGGGATTTGGGCCCTCAGGAGCCAGGTGATGGGGTGGGGGGAGGGTGTTTGCTGGTTAGGAGGGCTTGGGTTTTGGGAATCTACTGCAGGGGAGGGAGGGGGCACTTAAGGAGGTAGAGGTTAGGGGTCTGCTGGGTCAAAAGTAGATTCAGTGTTAGGGGTATGCTATTTGTGTGAACAAGTAGTATCTGATGGGTAGAGGGGGACTGACAGAGGTTTGAGACTGGAGGGTGAAAAGGTCCAGACTGGAGGGTGAAAAGGCCCTTCTGAGCAATAGGGCCCTGTGTAGTTGCACTAGTTGTTCATCCCTAAGGCCAAGCCTGTTCACTACTGTCTGTTTTCCACACAGCAGAGTGACATTTTCAGCCCCAGATTTAATCATGTACGTTGACATTGTTGCCTTGCTATGATTTCCCATTATTTTCAGGACAATGGTCTTGTCCTTACTCTGCCTCACTGGCAGTATAAACTCTGAGTGATCTGGCCCCAGCCTATCCTTTAACCTCATTTTGTATAACAAGAACTTGAAGCAGTATCTTGGAGCCTTCTAGAGAGGGCACAAGGCTGCAGAGGAGTGTCTCAAAGCTCCTTGTTGACATCAGGAAACCAGGAGGTCCTTATCGTGAATTTCATTTAGAAGCAGCATTGCTACTGGTTCAAGTGGCATTTGTTTTGTCCCTTTCATTGCTAACATGCTGTTTTAATATCTGTCATTCTCTAGGCAGACCATTCGACACCTGCATCTTCTTCCTGAAGTAGCAGAGTGCACTGCCATGATGCTGGCCATAGCTCTCAGGTACCCACCTGAATGTTCCTCTACCTGACCATTGTGGTTCACTGTTCCTGAGTGGCCAGAAGCACATGTTTACTGAGCTAGGGCTCCACTCTCACTCCCAACTTCCCTTGCTCCAGAAGAGAACAAGCCCCACTCTAATGTATCCATCATTACATTTACTGAGCCTTCCTGTCTAGGGACATAGACATGAATAAGATTAACTTTCTGCCAATCTGCTGGGGGTGGTCACCCAGGAAGAGAAATGTGCTGAGTAGCAGGAGAGCAGTGTGTGCAAGGAGAGAGGCTCTGCTGAGGAACCTAGGCTGGGAAGACCTACCACAGGAGGGAAACTGGGACCTTATTAATAAGAAGAAACTCACTGGTGAGACCAGGTAAGAAAGAAGTTCCAGCATAATAATAGGCTACTGAGTTTTACTGCAACAGGCCATATGTTAAGCACTTCATATGTCTTGAATTTCACTTAATTTAGCAGATAAGGAAACTGAGACTCAGAGAGAGCAATTAATTGTCAGAGTCCTATTCTAAGTGGGGTCTTCATTCCTAGAGTGTGGAGCTGAAAGTGAAGGGCCAGGCCAAGATCTGGGGCAGAAATATGAAGAATAGAGAGTGGAAAGAAGGGAAGTCCCCAGCTGACTAGGAAGTGCAGGGACCAGGGGCCATGTGGGGTGGGGGTGGGGCTACCACATGGTAAATCTGACACCAGGAGACATTCCAGCCCCAGGCCTTGGTTGATATCGAGAGAGTGGCACTCAGTGCTCAGGATGTGATATAGATTGTTTTTCAGTTTGCCCTGGAAAAAGGGTTGAAAAAAATAGAGCACACAACTCTTCTGATTTGACAGGGAGCTTTCAGATTTACTAACTTTCAACCACAAGAGTGTGATTCTGAGTTTCCAAGTACAGTCAGTCTTTAGACGCTAGGGTAGACACCAAAGAGGTGTAACATGGTGAATAGGCAGTCAGCAGAGTAACTGAAACATAGGTCCAGAGGATGTGGGGGAAGGGTTCCTTCAGAGAGGACTAAGAATTACCTCACCACCAGCTCACTGGTCAAAGGGAGGTGGCTTGCACTGATGAAAGGGCCTTCAGAGACCATTTACATGAGCCTATCAGAGCCCGGTGAAACTGTAGAAAAACATAAGGTCAGGCCCCAACTTAGACCTATAAACTGTATGGGAGTCAGGCAAGCTGCATAATTTTTAGGTTTCATAAGTGAATCAGACCCACGCTGCTGCAGTTTTGCCTTACTGCTTCACTTTATAGATGGGGAAACTGAGGCCCAGTGGGACACAATGACACCGAGTGGGAAGGCAGGGTGTAACTACCTCTCAACCACAACATCATTTCTCCCTCACTCCCATCCTTTCAAGCTGTTGCTTTCTTTTTTCTATTATGGCAGCTGTTACCAATGGTCTCACCAAATTCAAACACCAACAGGATTCCCCAATTTGGGGTGTGATGAAGAAAAAAATTTTATTCAATACAAACAGCTCAACAGTGATACAGCACAGCTGTGAAAACAGCACTGCATTGGAACAGCTCAATTTGAGGTACCGTGGCTATGAAAACAACACAGCTGTGAGACTATCCCAGAGCCAGGCCTCTCTTCAGCTAGGCAGCTCTGCTCTGCTCTGGTGAGACATATTCGGAGTTTCAGCTCTGCTAGGGAAACTCAGTCTTCAGTGGAAAGGGAAAGTGCACTCCCTGAGCCAGAGGAAAGCTGGCTTATATGGCAGGAGTCCCCACCCTTAGTTCCTGAGTGGTTCATCCTTATGTAAATGAGGACTCCAAATCCTCACAGTTCGATTGCTCCAAAAGCACTGTCCTGATTGGTCAGAATAGAGCCACTCTGTTTGGTCAGAGTTACACAGCTCTGATTGGATGGAGAAAGCCTCAGTCATATTGGTTGAAATAGGATTCCAGGAACTCCTTTATAAGAGCTGACTCAGATGGTAGAAACACAGTGTAGGCAGGCAGACTAGTGCAAGCTTCTTTGTGAAGCACAGTTTGTGTAAGAGGCCCCTGTGCAGAAATGGCTGCTGGGCTCTGTTTTCTAAAATTTGAGTCCAGTTATTCATAAAGAGCCCTTCTTAGTAGGTGTCTAACCCCTCTGGGTTCACAGCTGTCTTCAGCTGCAAGCAACTGGGGTGTACCTTCAATGCTGAAAATGTTTATTAGCTCAAACTGAAGGATTCTGGAGGTGGGGGCTACCAGGGTCAACCTTGCTGCTTTGCAATTCTCCCAGATGTATTCTCTCTTGGTGGCTATTTCAGAAGCTTAGGTGTCCCCCACCTCTAACCTAACCCATGAGGGTGCTGATTTGTTAAGAAGCTGACTCATCCCTTCTTGCCAACTGAAGGGTTTAGGCCCCACACCAGCCCGTGGGTTTAGGCCCCACACCAGCATCGTCTGCTTAGTGGGCAAGCCATAGCTCCTCAGGCTGTGTCTGGGGTTCCAGCCCAGGGTTCTTCTCAAGGTGGTATCTGACAGTGCCACAGCACATGTCCAGCCAAAGCAGAAACTCCAGTAATGGTCTCAACACCTTCTCCCTTCCAAAAATTGAGGGTGGCAGATGTTAGAGGGTCAATTAAGTTTCCTCCTCCCTGTGATCCCACTTCTAGGAATATATCCCAAGAAACCAGAAACACCAGTCAGAAAGGATTTAAATTACTCTTGGCAAAGACTTCTGCCTTCTTACACATCTGGTCTTCGCCCAACTTAGTGCAACAGGAGAGGTAACTCTACTGCAGCCAATGCATCAATCCAGAAAAATTGGATTATTGCTTATCTCTTTTCTGCCCTATGAGATCAACCGAAGGACTTGTATGCATGCATATAAGCATAACCAACAGACATAAGACACTGGGGGGTAGGGGAGGCCAGGGGATTGTCAAGGGCGGGGGGAAAAAAGGAGACATATGTAATACTCTTTGTAATACTTTAAGCAATAAAAAAAAAATTAAGTTTCCTCAACCACTGAAGGGTAGGGCCCAGACAAAAAAGAAAGTGGGCCTCAATCTGAGTTTTTGAACTCCAACATCTGTACCTTTATAATGCTGTCTCTCTTGGTTCAACTACATTCTTCTGGCCTGAAGACATCTTTAGAGGAGTTTCCTGCCCCAGAAAGTGTCTAATGTGGAGACTTGGGGGACAGAAGGTCAGTGTCCGTAAAGCCTCAAGCTGTTTTCCATTGGCTAGTTACCCACTCACCCCACCTTGATGTCCCTATAGCCGGTCCCCTAGAATGCAGTTGCATTTGCCCCCAGACTCCTTGAGGGTAGGATATGGATTGGGACACCATGTAGTCAGGATTTGGTGAATGATAGTGATGTGCTAGTCCTAGGGAAGCCCTCTTCCCCCAAATGGTTTGCTGGTAAGGGATGGAGAGTCTAGCATTTATGTACCTGGTCTGGAGTGAGGCTGGGATGGTGGGCAACAGCACCCCTGATTCCTGACCCCTCCTTTCCCTCGCCTTCTGTGACTTCAGGCTCCCTAAGTTTATGGCCTCTGAGAATGTCTCAACTAGGACATCAGAAGGCGGCAAGTGGAGGAGAACAGGAGGGAGGCAAGTGGCAGGCGGAGCTGCACACAGGAGCACAGCAGCTCTACTTCCTGTGGGTGAGGGGCCTGATGCCTGCACCTAAGGGGAGATTGCACAAACCTTTCTGCACAGACTGCCTGCCCACCTAGCCTATGTACCTACCTGCCTCTCCCTCTGGCCACTGCCTCCCACCTGGGGCTGGCATTCCTCCTAAGTCTTGCAGCCTGGACTGTCCTCCATCACCATGGGGCTGGCAAGGGGTTGGGCCGGAAACCAGAACCCGCCCTCACATCACTGGGCACTGCTCCTTCCTCATTTTGCTGCTGATTCTAGCCCTAAACAAAATAGACAGCTCTTTTACTACCTCTGGCAGCTCATCTCTAGCTTGCGGGTGTCTTCTGAGGTGTTGCAGACAGCATCAGCCAAGTCGGGGGAAGACTGGGTCAACACTGTTAGGACTGGGACAGTGTGCCTGGTTCCTGGATCTCGTTCAGCTCTGTCTGTGGGAGGAGAGAAATCTTTGTCGTGGCAGCCTGAGGATGATGCCCCAGCTTCAATTCAGAGATGCCTTTTGGGTGAGTGAAGACTGTCAGGGAGTTAAACAAGTAGAATGGGAAGATTGGCTGAAATTTCCCCAAGGTAGTTGATTGGGATGTGGTCAAGGGAAGAGAGAGATTTTCTCATAAAAATAGTGATTGTATTTTGTATCTGTGAAGGTAACCTGGGCCACCGTTCCTTCTAAGTTGTAAGATAAAGGGGGTCCTCAGCCTGGGGTATGATTTCTTTGCAAGCTTCAAGACAGTGAGTGAGAGATATCCCCTGTACCCAAGGACTGGTTTCTCCTCCAAGTGAGCCTCTCCCCAAAGCAGAATTTTTTGAGAAGAGAGTCCAATATGTGGGTGGGAATTTGAGGAGGCCAAATGAAGAAAAGAAGGGAATGGGTCACAGGTTTGGGGACCAAACAAATTGAGATATTGACTCTGCTATTTAAGGGCTAGATAAGTTATTTTACTTCTCTAAGTCTCATTTGCCCTACCTATGTAGTGGAGGTTAATATTAATAAATATACCAGTCTACTGGGAGGATTAAACATGGTAATCAAATGTAACAAAGTCTCTAGTACATTGCTGGCATTCAAATAGTAATTCTCTTCCCTCACCCAAACCCCCTTCCTTGCAGTCCTTAGGGACCCTTTGAAGAGGCAGGAGGGCTGGTCAATTCCTTGCTCACTTTCTTAGATTCAGTGCAGAGGTAAATCAAATCTTTTCTTCCATGAGAGAATGGCACCCGGCTGGTGGCTTGGCCCAGGCCACACAGCCTTCAAGTCCAGTTTGGGCCTCAAATCCCCTCTGGTTTTTCTGGCTGTTTTCAGCTTTCTCCTCTGCTCCTGGACTTCGGGCTGTCTCCAGTGCTCAAGGGGGAAAGCTGAGACCTCTGTGGTTAGAGCTGAGGAATGTGATTGTCCCAAGAGCCCCCCTTTCAGCCCCATAGAGGACTCCATGGCCCTTTGCCTCAGTCAACAGCCTCCCCTCCCTGGGTCCTTTTTGGGACCTGTGACCAGCATGTGAGTGACCTGTTTCGTGCCTACTCTGACCACACAGTGGCTACAGGGCTGCCTGGGTAGGGCACTCTGTGCCTCTCTGGACCTCCGTTTCCCCATCTCTACAAAGAAGGAGTGGGACCGACCCAGAGGAGTCAATGGAGACAGACTTGATTTAGCCAATCCCACCACCAGGTTGGCAGCTGGGGATTACAAAAGGGGATGGATAGGTGGCTACAGTGAGGGAGGCAGGGAGTGGTGAGTCACCACATCATTGCTCTGACTTGGAGTATAAGGTTGGGGAAAATGATAAGGCCTGAAAACCCAGGTTGCTCTGTGGCCAGGATACCCTGATTGTTTTCCCTCCAGGACATCTATCCCACACCAGAGTGCCTGGGCCCACCTTCCCTAGGGCAGAGCTGGGGGCAAGGAGATCTGAGCAGTAGGAGATAGTGTATGAGGAAGCAGGGTGTGGCAGTAGCAGCAGCAACAGAATCAGCAGCAAGAAAGCAGCTTCCTGAGCCACACTCTGCACTTGCCCCACCTCTGAGCCACTGTGAGCTTCATGGGCTCCAGGTGCCTCCTGTCCTCTACTGCTGGCTCCCTGGGCCTGACTTGGGGTACAGCTTCCCTGGAGAAGGCCACATCTGGGAGAGAAGTGATTTGTGGAAGCCTGTCATACTGACTGACCCTGGCAAATGCCTCAAAAGTTCACTGTCATCCTCATTGTTCCCAGGGCTTTGAATTCTAGCACCACTCCCTGACCCTCAGACCATGAGGGCATCTAACACTCACAGAAACATGTGTCAATTCACTCTTTTAAACAAATGAAGTAGTTTTTTGTTTTCCACATTTTGGTGGGAAAATTAAGAGAGCTTAAGTAACTTGCCCAAGATCATAAAGCTTGGATTGAACCCAACAGTTGAACCCAGTGCCTGGGTTTTCACCCCGGGTGCTTCATTATTCTCTATCAACATGGCAGATCACTAAATTTTGGGGCCACATTGGTGAAATGGACAAAAAAATTCTGTCCTTCCTACCTCTCAGAGAAGTAGGGAGGTAAGACAAGGTTTATAGAAGTTTTGAAGCTCCATTTATACATAAATCTGTAAAACACAAAAGGCATACTGATCTAACTGCCATGGGATGTTAGGGATAGAGCACAGCCTGCCCCCTCTACTATTTTCCCCTACACCAGCCCAAGGCAATATCATTAAACCCTGAAGCTTGGCAGCATACTAAAAATGACTAGTCTTTAATAGTGGTAAGAAGCCCTAGAAAAATCATTTCCAACACCAAAGTACTTTAATTATCTGGCAATCTCAACTTTCTAGAACACAGGTGTCACCAGCCCTGTTTCTGGCACTAGCTAATAGTAAGGAGAGAAACAAAAGTCATTTTTAAGGAGCTAAGAGCTTAAATTAAAGCCCATATACTTTACTTGTACTAGATGGCCCATAGCTTATAGGTAGGGCCTATGAACTCTGATTTTACCCATATTTTTTACAAGATCAGTCATGTGATTTTTTTAACCGATATACGTAGCAATTAGTAGGCTTCTCCATGGAACCTGATATATATTGGTGATTGATAAATATTGGTGGACCTGAACTTTTAGAGATAGTTTAACAAATATCTGGTAGCCTGATATCAAGAGAGGAGACAAAAAAAAGTATAAAAAGCAAACAGAATGGCTCATAAGTGGTGGAAACATTCAGCATACGAGTAGAAAGTTCTATCCCTCAGTGGGCCTGTATTTGCAAAGTTATCAGTGTTTCCACACAGTATTTATAGCCTTCTTTTATCTGTGGCAGAGCATTCAGATGCAGGCTGCTGTGGGAATGAGGTGAGAGTAGGGCTAGCCATGTAGGGAGGGAAGGGATAATTTGATATATATTAAACACACACCAGGATAAAGAATAAAGAGCATCATGGCTTTGCACGAAGTTTGTAGCTGAGCCTCAGAGCAGGGTCTGTCAGTGAAACAAAGCTGAGGCTGAGAATAAAGATGCCCAAGCTGAGAAGGCCTTAGCTCTTCAATAACCTGCCTCAGCACCAAGTCAGAGGGGCATAGAAGCCTAGAGAAGACAGGATGCTGCCCCTCACCCCTCCCATACACACAGCTCTCCTCTCCAGTGGCTGTGCTCCAGCAGACAACCAAACTGCATTGTAAGAAACATATGTCTGCATCCTGAGCACAGGGCTGACAAGTGGGGTATATACTCAGTCAATGTTTGTAGAATAAATGAATGAACAGTGAATATCTACATGGTCCCACCTGCCTTCCTGAACCTATTTTCTCCTCCATTTCACTTTAGTTATATTTACAAATATTTGTTAAGCAGGGTTCTAGACTAGGTGGTTTAAACTATACTACTCAGCCTCACCCCTACATCCAATCAGATGAATGAGACCATCTTGCCCTCAAGGAAGTCACCATCCAGTGCTGGAAACTCAGGTTCCCTGATAACTGGGCCAGACCTTGTGTACCAAGTGGAGCAGGGCTCTGAGATGTGTTTATCCTTCCCACTGTCTCACTCTCTCCCAGACCTATATATCTAATGGTCTTTGCAAAAAAAAGTCACTGGATATTGTTTTAAGAGAAAAGCTCTAGTCCTGGACCAGGTTTTATTGATATCTACATCCTACCACTTTTGGGGTTATTAAAAGGAAAAATAAGGACCTGAGGAGGCTAGGCCAGAGTTACTACAGTGACCTCTCACCACCACTGTGACCCACCTTTAGGCAGAAGCCACCACAGGGGACTGAGAATAGGCCTGAAATTTTCCTTCTGCTTTGAGGTCACACCTCCCCTCTTTTAAGCTGGTGTCCAGCTTCATCTGGAAAGCTCTGTGCCAAGCATGGAGCATCTGAGGACCCCAAGAGACAGAGGACAGAGGAAAGTACTACTCCCTGGGTGGGGGCATGAATTACAAGGGAAGCACATGGGACTGAGGCTGGGCCCACCCCTCCCCCATGTGTCCACTCAGCTGATGTAGCTTCTTCCCCTTCCCAGTTTTGAGATTCTGAGGTTCCTCATTTAGGAGACTACAGAGAAGGACCCCATTTTTGACCTGTCCTAAAGCTGCCTGTCCATTACCTCAGACCTGCCAATAGTGGCCCCAGGACTTCATGGAAAATCAGGAGCAGTTGATGTCCATTGGGTACCTGTTCTGTTCTGGACACTTAAAGCTATGAACATACTTTAAAAGCAAAAAATATAAGATCCTAAAAGGAAAGTGGAAAAATAGAAAAAAAACAAACAAACACAAAAACAGGAATAAAACAGCCTTAGTAGTTTCATCACACAGAGATAGCTGGTAATATTTTGCCGTGTTTCTCTAAGATTGTTAACATAGGTACAAGCTAATTTTCTTGCATTTTAAAATTTATTTTTAATCATGGAAAAATACACCTAACATAAAATTTACCATCTTAACCATTTTAAATGTACAGTCCAGATCCATAATTACATTCACATTGTTATAAGACCTGCCCCCTCACCCTTTCAACATAATTCCGTTTTGAACATATGGTTGTGGATATGGTTTCCTTGTCTTCAAAACAACATTGCTAATGACTGTATAGTCCTACAGCTTGTGGATTTGGTGGACATGCTATGATTTATTTGTTCAATCCTCTACTGTTGCACATTTAGATTATTGCCAATTATTTATTATAGACAGTGATGCAATGGGTAGATCTTTGTGTATCAAAGTCTGCATTTGAGGATTACTTCCTTGGGTAGATTCCCAGAAAAGGAGATATTCCTGAGTAAGAAAGTGGGGGTTCTCTAGCATTTGGCACTAGCAGATCCTTTGGAACCCCTCATACCCCTCTGACTAGATAGGAGCTGGAAGACCAACCTGAGAGGGGCTCTGCTGAGAACGAAAGTCAACTCAGACACTGCACGAGGACTTGCAGTAGGGCAGGCCCTATGGCCTTGAAGGCTGAGGAGGCCAGTGGCTGAGGAGCAGGTCCTCCCGGAGCAATAGGGACTTAGAGGCAAGAGAGGGAGGCCTGGCTGTTCCACCT